ATATATCTATTCTCTCTTTTCAGTTACATCTGACTTCAGGAAAAAAATGTGTGTTTGTGTGTGTGTGTGTGTGTGTGTGTGTGTGTGTGTGTGTTCTGATATGGGGCATTCTTCTAGCACATGGGCATCATTTCAATGCTAGCATATAGTAAGAGCTGGGATTAAAGGCATTCGCCAACAACACCTTTGGGCACCACTCTGTACTATTAGGAGCAGTGGGCTACATTCCTGGAATCCGGCCGTCGGCATGGCTAGATTTATACCCGAAATAATTATACAGAACCTGTGTTCTTTTAAGCACTGCCTGGCACATTAGTTCCAGCCTATTATTGGCTAGCTCTTACATATTGATCTAACCCATTTCTAATAATCTGTGCAGCCCACGAGGTGGCTTACAGGGAAGGTCTTAACCTACAGCTGTGTTGGGTGGGAGAATCATGACAACTGCCTGACTCAGCTTCTTTCTCCCAGCATTCTGTTCTGTCTACTCCGCCTCTCTAATTTCTATCCTATCAGGCCAAGCAGTTTTCTTTATTAGTTAATGAAAGCAACAGATAAGATACAAGACCTACCTCCATCACTAGCATACATGAGAAAATCTATCTTTCTCTTTTATCATTTCTATAGATAATTTAAGCCATTCAGATAATATTTTGCATTCATAAAGTTCCTCAGAATACAGTAGAATAGTCTCTAGATTTTGGAATGAAGCAATTACATATGCAAACTTACACAATAGAAATTCAATAATAAAAGTGTACATATACTAAAATACCAATCAATTACTGTGTGTACGTGTTAGTATAATAGCATGCCACAGCCTTGAAATGTTTCATACATGTGGTATGAAATCAGGCAAGTGAATCTTAGAGATTTCTTCATTCATGCTCCATGTCCTGGGACAACATGATAATGTTAGTATACCAGTTTTTTTCTCATGAATATATTATAAATATATCCAGTTGTTCATATTTCAAATTACCAGTTCATGGACAGATCCCTCTATGAGTCTGTTAATTTTCAAACATAAAAGCAGAAAATAACATAAGGGTATTATTATTATTATTTAGAGTAGACATTGATGTTTTTAAATGTAACTAACTCTTCTATTATTTCTTTCCTCTGTTTGTATTTTTGCATGAATACAGAATCTACAATTGTGGTCTGCCTCCTTAACTAAAACCGTAGGATCATTACAGTATCTGTTCTTTTTATATACTCCACACATACATCAAATAAGGGCAACATTCAGAAGTCTCCCATACAATAATACTTAGAAATAAATAAAATAAATTTTACTATTTATCTTAAAAATAAGGTATTTAAACAATTGTCTACAGTATTAGGATCTGAGAATCAGTTTCTTAAACCATGATTTTGAATCTGGGATGACAATGCATCTTTCTTGTATTTTTTGTGATCAGTTTTTGCCTGTTTATATGAGTAGCTTTTATGCAGACAAATTATAATTACATGTTACATATAATATGATAGAATGAATTATATGCAAATATGTAACTGAAACCAAATTTTGCAGTCAAGATATCTTTAAATCATTTATGCTGCTTTAGATTCGCAAAACATACCATGAAATTTTTTCTTAAACCATTTATATATGGTATTGGAGTTCCTAATGTTTGTGTGTTCCTTTCATTGTAATGAATAAAGAAATTGCCTTGGCCTAGTTGATAGGACAGAACTTAGGTAGGCAGGGAGTACACAGAACTGAATGCTGGGAAAAGGGGAAGAGTGAGAGATGCAAAGGATCTCCTGCCTGAGACAATGCTGGTTAAAATCTTGCTGGTAAGTCACAGTCACATGGTGATATGCAGATTTAATAGAAATGCATTAATATAATAATTATGGGAAATGGAAACAACTGGACAAAGTTTGCCTCTCAAATGGAGACTATATCTTGTAGAAAAGCAAACATGAAGATAAACGTTGGATCACAGATCTGAGAAATCAGACCCAACAAATTTCCTTTCCTTTTCATATGCTTACTGGTAAGTGGCTACATAGAAAAAGAAATCAGCAATTAAATTTTGAAATAGCAGTATATGCCCAGGTTACTTCAAAGACAAGAAGGCCTGGAATAAACTTCTGTCTTCTGGAGAGCAGACTGAAGACTAATGTCAATTAATTCAGGGACCCGAAGAATTCTTTCATGATGATGCAGTAAGCAAACAGATTAATTGGAGACACAGAAACTGAATGATTGAGAAGTAAAGCTAACCTAATAAAATACCGTTGCAGTATTTAAGTCTTGTTGAGACCATTTAGAAATAAGAGTAATATTCCTGATTTTATTTGAATATCCTCAGATATTAGACACTCGTGTAGCCAGTTCCTAGCTATGACTTCTGTTTTACAGGAAAAAAAACAGTTAAAGATGTTCCTCCTGACAAAGAAATCTGGAAATTGAGGATTGATATTAGATTTAAGAATCGTTAATGAGAGTTAATGGAGCTTTATATCTTGCATTGTCTTCTGTTTCTTCCATAAAAAGATACCAATAATATTTTCTACATTTAAAAATTCTTTTGATACAATCCCCTGGGCTCACACAAATTGTCAAAGATATGCATTTAGGGTTTCATCAGTTTATTTCATATATCAAATTAGACAATAGCATTAGAAAATCTTGCCTTGGGGTATGGCAAATTGTTTTATATTATGGTAGATATCTGTGGTTCAGGCTACACAATATCTTACATTTCAATTTCCAGAAGTGTATATTATGCTTTAATGATGATGACTAACTTGTCCATATAAATGAAGTAAGTTTGTTTGTAATATGTTGTCAGCTTCAGCAGAATCCTGTCTTTTTAGAGTTAGTAATTTCCCCATGAAAGGAATAGCCATCTTTTGAATATTTTGGAATATATTCTTATCCAAAAGAAGTTAAGCTTCAGAAATGTGAAATTATAATGAAAGAAGACAAACTTTGAATGACTTTCAGAAATTACTGTGGAATATACCTAAAACCACTGTACCTTCATGAGACCCACCTAGTTTCTCTGCTTATTTGTTACTGTTGTGATGCTTGATCTATTTGTGGGACTCCTGGCAGTGAGAGAATTATTTGCCTCTGTGGCTTTGGCTGATACTTTGAAACCTGCTCCTCACGCAGGATTGCATTTTTCTGCATAAATATAGGGAGAGGTGCCTGGTGTTATGGCAAGCTGTTATGCCAAGCTTCCCTGGTGTCCATGAGAAACCTCCTTCATACTGTGAGAATACAGTGGAAAACAGAGTAAGAGGTTGTCCAAATGTAGGGGTGAAATAGGAGGCGAGTACAGGCTGCAGTCATGTTGGAAAATAACAAAAGAAAATAATTAAATTTAAAAATATTACTGAATGTCATACAGGTATGGCAGATGAACAGTTGATTCAAGGGCTCCTATTGTTTATGAAAATATATATTCTCAATGCATCAAAATTTGAATCTAAAGATATTCTTTTAGTTTTTTGGTTTTTCAAGACATGGTTTCTCTGTTGCCTTGCAGCCTGACCTGAAACTAGCTCTGTAGAACAGAACGGACTAAAACTCATGGCGATCCACCTGCCTCTGACTCTCGAGTCCCAAGTACTGGGAATAAAGGTGTGTACCATCACCACATGGTGGATATGTTACGTTTGACAAGATGCCCTGCTTTTGTTACACAGAAGATGAGAACCTGTGGATTGTTTCCAGGCCAATGTTATTTGAGGGAGCAAAAGCTCCCAGAAGATCTTTTGAAGCTCTATAAAAAATTTCCCAAAAAGCATAGGAAGCATTTTGCAGAAAACTACATGTAAACTTCCAAATAATTATATATGTTTATCTTTATTTAAGGTGGGATATTATATAGAGTAATAAACACTTTGCTTTGTATTGGATCTTAGTTTACTAAGATTGATATAAGGTTGATTTTGGTATATGTATTTTTGTTCTCGCTTAATTTTTTCTTTGCAGATCATTTAAATATGTATAATTAAGAAGATTAATTGATAGTCATTAATAATAATCAAAATCTTAGTAGCATTATGTAGGTTTTCTAGATATGCAGAGATATAGTTCAGTTAGATAGATAATCTTCAACACTCAAAAACCTAAAGAATATGGCATTTAAAAGATGATGGAGGAGGGTCATCTGTCTACCTATTACTCTTGTTGGTTAAGAAGGAAACTGCCTTGGTCCTTTGATAGGACAGAAAATTAGGTAGGCAGAGTCAACAGAACAAAATGCTGGGAGGAAGAAGGCAAGGAGGCAGACACTATAGCTCTCCTCTTTAAAATGGATGCAGGTTGAGATCCTTCCCTGTAAGCCATCATCGCTTGATGCTACACAGATTACTAAATATGGTTCAAATCAAGATGTGAAAATTAGCCAATAAAAGGCTAAAACTAATGGGCCCGACAGTGTTTATATGAATACAGTTTACATGTAATTAATTTGGGTAAAGCTAGTCTGTGGCTGGATCCAGGGGTGGGAAGTAGCCTGCAGCTCCTCACTACAAAAATGTATTAAGAACTTACAATTTTCTCAACAGTGAAATATATCAGCTTCTGGCAGCACAAATTACTTCATTTGTGGGTGCTTAACAGGGAGAGTTATGATTTCTACCCTGAGCAGCACAGATGGCTCCCCTGAAATGGTTAGAAATGAGACAAGACCATCTGCAGACAGAGGAGCTGATAGATTAAGAAGTATATATGGGACTGTGATACTATCAGTCTGAGCCTAGTTAGCTGAAGAAGAATCCACAAATTCCATAGTGAGGATCTTTAAAGTCATGCACATATGACTAGGAATTCTGAGAGTCAAAGATGGTGGAAAGCTAGAACAGGAGCTAAAAGGACTGAGAGACTTAGTAATTTCACTTTCACAGAAGTTGAAGTGTCTGAAAATCTTCTGTCATAAAAGAATTACACGTCTACCATAGTCGCTGGTTTAGATCCATCCATGGTGCAGAGATCTCCTGGAGCAAGGCAAACACCCACCTTTTTTTTTTTTTGCATTTTTCGTACAAGCTAGTTTCCAGAGAAGGAGTGAGCCGATGTGAAGATGATCAGGGATTTCCAGTATTTCTAGAATAGAAAATGAGATAATCTACTCAGACAACGAGACCTGAAACCATTAAAACAAGGCAAAGTATTAAACACAATCTAAGCTCAGTGTGACCAAATTTCTCCTTTCACACATGCTGCTAGTGTATATGGATTTAGAAGCCATACTCCACAAATTGGATATACATAGCCAAAGCTTGCCTGACAGGAAAAGTCTAGCTGATGAGGAAAAGTGAGTTTTCAGAACAACGTCAGTTCACAACTGTGAGTAATATGGCCTAAGTAATTCTTGGAATAAATATCTTTCTTCAGGAGTGCAGACAATGGACTTACCTTAAATAATACAGGTATTATTTGTTGAGTTGTTCCAGGATTTTGTTTCCACGCTTTTGCAGCCATCAATAAGAATTATTAAAAATCCAAAATGTTGATTTTTGCTTATTAAACAGCTTGCCTATGAGAGTACTAATATAATATATCCGCTTGCTTTGACATCTTTTAGAAAGAAAGGTGTCATTTCTGATTACATTCAAAATTGATGAGGAATTTTAAACTCATACACACAAGGACTAGTTATGGCTGCTGCTTTGCAGCAGTAAACATGTAAATATGTTCTCTCACAACATAGAAATCTGCAAAATTGAAAATGATACAAGAATTATAAATAGTTTATGAGACCATGCATCTAGGTTGAGCTTTAGAGACTAGACTGGATTACCTAATCATTAAGGTATTGACCAAATGGTACCTATAAAATAATTTAGATTTAATAGCTTGATTTTACCATCCCTTTTGTTCCAAAATGTTTTCAAAGATTTTCATTTAGTATTCTATCAGCCAATTAAGGGAGCAAATTGGGAGTTATCATTGATAAGTTTTGCCTCAGTTAATGGCAAACAGGGTAATTTATGCCAGATATATGTGGTTCATGCAATATAAAATATTCAAAATATTTACAACAAGTTTACATTATCCATTATGGATCTTGATGTACATGAAAAAAATTTAGGAATTTGCTTGCAATTCTTGTAGAGCTTCAGCTGAGCCTTTCCCTTATGGGTAGTTAGTTTCCTACAGAAAATACAAATGCAGACATCTTTCCCATTTTCAGGACATATGTCTTATCCTAAATAAATTAAGACTCAGTAATTGAAAATTAGAAAAGATAGCTTGCAAACTTTGAAGGAAATTCAAAAATGATTGGTAGATATTCAGTTACTGTGCCTATTTTAAAATTGTCTATGGAAAACCTGGAGAAATACAGTGAGATTCGTAAGGGGAGAAGTGACCTCATTTTCCCAGGTTCTATATTGATGCTGCAGGTCAAGTGCTGACTCAGGGGAGCATTTTCCCTGGCTTCTTGAATAAACAATTCAAATAAATAAATAAATAAATAAATAAATAAATATGAGTGATCCTTCAGTCACCACATAATTCACTGCTTCATGCACTTCTTATTCTAAATATTCTAAGTGTGAATCCCCCACAAGCATTATACCATGCATAGATTTTGGCATGATGGTGTAGAAGAGACTTTTGTCTAAAGCAAATGGAAAGACCATTGCACTGGATTATGGAAAGGACAAAACCATGCAATAGATAATATAGGGTCAAGTTCACGTGCTCTCATGTATGTGTCTGTGTGTGTGTTTACAGGAAGACAATGAACCACAATAGCTTCATGGAAGTTTGGTGCAGTGGATTGACCAGAAGATTACCAGACTAGATGATATTGGAGCTGCTAGTGCTCACCAAACAGTAATGGATTGAGATTGCTGAAATTGTGTTTTTGAAACTCTGATGATAATAATGGATACACATCATTGCCACAGTGTGTATAGAGTGTTAGTTTATATGTTGCATTTCTATTTGAAAATAAATAACTTTAATAAGCAGTTGTATTTATTCATACCTTTTGTAGTTCATAGATTTTATTGATTCAGTTGATCACGTTGAGTGCCAGTTGTTCCAGGGAAAGGCTGCTTGCTTGTCCCAGCCATCCTGCTCACTTAGCCCCAAAATAACAAAACAGAAATTATATTAATTAAAACACTTCTTAACCCATTTGCTCTAGCCACTTATCAGCTAACTCTCATATCTTGATTTAATGCATTTCTATAAATCTGTATATTGCTACATGGCAGTGGCTTACCGGAAAGATTCAGCATGTCTGACTCTGGTGGCCCCTTGACAGCTCTCTCCTCTGCTTTTCTTTTCCCCCTGTATTCAGTTCTGTTTCCTCTGCCCACCTAAGTTCTCCTGTATCAAAAGGCCTAGGCAGTTCTTTTATTCATTAACCAATGAAAGCAACACGTAAACAGAAGGCCCTCTTACACCAGTATGTATGCATTGTACATAAAAATTATGTAATAATAAGGATATTTTCTAAATAGGAATGTTATTTTAAAACCCAGTCTGAACATCCAAAAATTACAAATATCTAACAATGTCATGATAATTTGGCAACAATTTGATGTTTTCCTTCAGAAAAAACAAAACATAGTATTATTTTCTAAATTTGACAATTGTCTGCATGCTTGTATTAGTGTTTCACATATGTGTATATGTTTTGACACTGATTTCAGAGTAATAGTCCCAATTAATATTTTTGACATGTATAAGACATTTTATATGAATAATTAAATTGTGATATAATTCAGTGCAATGCTTACTTCAGATTTTCCCTGTGATCACCAATATCAGTACCCCATTCTCAGGTCATTTATCTGTTCTCTCTCTTCTGTGACATCTGACTATCTGACTTCAGGGAAAATGTGTGTGTGTGTGTGTGTGTGTGTGTGTGTGTGTGTGTGTGTGTGTGTTTGTATATGGGGCATTGTTCAAGCACATGGGAATTACATCAAAGCTAGCATACCTGAGAAAAATATATCCTTCCCCTTTCATCATTTCTGTAAATAACATAAGCCATTCAGATAATATTATGAAGTCATAATGTTAATCATAATACAGTAGAATATTCTCTGAATTTTGTAATGAAACAATTACATATGCAAAAATACACAATTAAAATCCAATAATAAAGGGCACATACACATATTGTATAATAGCATGCCACAGCCTTGAAATTTGCCACATGTGGTATGAAAACAGGCAAGCAAATCTCAAAGCTCCTGCATTTACTGTATTTCCTAATGTCCTGCAACAACATGGTCAAGTTTGTATACCAGTCTTTTACACATGTATATATTAGAAATAGATCCAGTTGTTAATATTTCAAATTACCAGTTCATGGACAGAGCACTTTATGAGTCTGTGAATTTTTTTAACATAAAAGCAGAAAATAACATAAGGGTTATTATTTAGAGTACACACTGATATTTTTATATGTAAATAACTACTCTACCATGTTATCATCTCTGATTGTACATTTTGCCTACATATAAATTTTACTATTTTTGTCTGACTCCTGAATTAAAACCATAGGATCACTACAGTGTCTTTGCTGTTTTTATATAATCCACACATATATCCAAGCAACATTCAGGAGACACACATACAAATCTACAAATAATTAATAAAATTAAGTTATACTATATATCTTAACAATAAGTTATATAACCAATATTTTACACTATTTGGATCTGAGAGTCAGTCTCTTAAACCATTAATATAGCTATGATATCTACTTATAATCATCCTAATATGTTAAGGTCAATCTCACAACTAAAATGACTACAAAATATAAAGGTAAAATGCATGATTTCTTCAGCTAATTCAAATATCACAATTCGTCCAAATTTATCTTCAGAGGGTATTACTGGTTACATATGCATAGACATGTCTAAATTTTTGCTCTTAGTTTTTGTAGAACTGTAGCTGTATAATTGACAAAAAGTAAACTATGCCAATTGCAACAATCAAGCCTACTCTATATTGTTAGCAAGATAATGATAGCACAATCAGAAACCTTATCTGCAAATTTTCTGAAGGAATATAATTTCTAACTCTGCCCTAAATATATTATCCATAGACGCACAAAAATCATTGGCTTATAACTTCAATAAAAAATATAAAACGGATAAATTTATGCTATTAAAACTTAGAAATCTTAAATGCTAATTAAAATTAACTAAAAGAAAAATTGATTAGCATAATAACATCCCCTATTGAAATATGAAAAAAGGTAGAAAACTCTCTAAAAGTAACTCAATTAGCAGAAAAGGCACTTACAAATATTGGAGTCTATCAGAGAAAGAATCATTTTTTTTTACTGTATAGTTATATAAATAGGCCTTTGAATTAGAAAAGGTTACTGCTAAATTGGTTCTACAAAATCACAACAGAGTTTACTCAATAGGAATACTGATGTATAAAATTGTATTACACAATAATATATAATTATTTTATTATGTAGTAGGATTTATTTTGACACTTTCTGTATAGATATTGTTTTAAAGGAGGAAGAAGGATGAGCATAAAATAAAGTAAATACAGTACTCATGTATGAAATTTAAAATTATGTTAAGATAGTGTACACATGCATGCATAGGTATGCATTAATATAATTATGCACAGTCAATCTCATACATGTACACATACATAAACTTAAACAAATATTAGAAAGTAATTGAGATGCTTCATAGTCTATTTGGAGAGATATTGTAAAACTGAACTACTTATTCTATCAGGGGATTTGTTCTCTTGCGACACTACAACTCCCAGCATTCCCCTGGGGACACATTTCCCAGAAGCTTTTGCATTCCCCGTTAAAAAGTGGGGGGAGCCACGAGCCCCCCCCCTTTCTCTCTCTCTCCTCCCTTTTCTTCCCCGCCTTTCCTACCGTGTCTGCACCCCCTTCCTGTTTGTTGCCCCTCCTCCATTAAAGTGTACCCACGTGGGTCCGCCGCGTGTCTGTGTCTTTTCCTCGCGTAACCGTCTCTGCCGTCTAACCTGCAGAAATTAAGAAAAATATTTGGTGCCGTCCTTGACTGGGTTACCTCTTCATCCTGGCTCCCAAGGCTTTTGCCTCTGGGTTTCACCGGCACAAGGTCTAAAGGAACCGACTGCCTGCATTCATCTCCACCTGTTTGCCACAGCCATTCTCCACTGCCTCATCCTGATCTGTGAGTTAACCTGAGTTGGCTTCCTCCCCCCCCTCCCCCCCCCCCCGGGGCGTTCAAAGACTGTGTGGCCGGCTTTCTTTGCACATCCTGGACTAGGTCTCCAACCTCCCTCCCCTGGCTTTTTGCCCTTGGCCGAAGCCTGCTTTAGTCTGCAAGCCCGGGAGTTCGGTGCTCCGGGCTTCTTCCTCTTTTTTTTCTAACCTATCCTGTCTTTTTTCCGGCCCGCTCTGCTGTGGTGCCTTTGGGCCGTACGCAGGCCCTGAAAAGCTTAATTGTCTCCTCCCAGCCGGGGCTTTTTCTCCCCCTTACGGTAGCTGGGTTCGGGCCAGTTATGTGTTAGCACACCCCAAAAACACTCGGACGCCTGTGTTTTTTGGCCTGTCGTGTTTGCGATATCTTTTGGGTACCTTTTTTGCGGGTGGGCTGCGCTTCAGCAATGGGCTTTAAGCATTCAAAACCAATCCCCCCATCTTCCCCTCTCAGCCAGCTTCTGAAAGCTACCCTCTGCTCCCGCCGCTGGGATGGATCCCGCGGACAAACCTCAACCCCCCTGCCTCCACACACACCCCACCGCCCCGCCTCTAGGGGCCACTCGCTCTCGCTCTGCCCAGTCAAGCAACAGCGATGGCTCACCCATTCCTCTTTCTTCCATGGTTTACCCGCTCCCTCTCCGAACCAGCCTCACCCCACTTCTCCCGCAACAGGTCGCGCATGTCTTTGGATTCTTCCCTGTCTCCTCTCCGCCACAGGTCACAAAAGTGGCTTAAAGAGTCTCCTCCCTGTCCTACGCCTCCCCCTCGATCTTCCAAAGCCCCTCTAGGCTACCGCTGTCACTAACCACCACTCTTCCTTTGTTACACCTAATGATATCAGGCTCCTAAAAGCTACAGCAGCCTCCTGTCAGATCTGCCAAAAGTCACATCCCAGGACTAAATATCGTAGCTTCCCTTTCCCTACCCACCAAGCAAGGGGCTCCCTTCCAGGAACTGACTGGCAGCTGGATTTTACTCATATGCCCACAGTCAGGACATGTCCACCGCTGGTTAAAATAGGAGATAAGGTATTACTCTCACCCCCAGGCCAAAGCCCTTCACCCCTTTCCCCTAAATGGCAGGGCACTTTCAGAGTAATTCTTTTAACTCCCACAGCTGCCAAGCTAAAAGGAATTCCTCATTGGATTCACCTGTCACATCTTAAACCATTTATCTCCACAGCTCAAGATAATCCTTCATATAGGGTAACTCAAACCGGACCCTGTTCTCTTAAGTTCCAAAGGACACCAGATTCAGCCCCCCCCCACTACAGTCTAAGGAAAACAATGGTCCCGATCCGTCGCTGTGTTAACACACCCTCCCTTCTTTAAATTCATAAATAACCGTCTAGCTGTCGTTACAGGTACCCCCATCAAATACGGAGTCAAGTGGTAAGCAGATTCTCCTCTACAAAGCTCTTTAACATAACAGGCCAGCCGCTGACTGCAGCAGTGGCTCCTGAAATGTTAAGAAATGTATGGTTAGAATCTATTTCTTTTAAGACAGTTTCCTTAAGCTCCAGGATGCCAGCCCAACCCATCTAAACAAATCAAACACAAACAGAATAATGGAATAAGTATCACTTAATTTTTCATCATTCTTAACCCCGGACATCCTAAGACTCCCGCACCCGGATCTCCTCTCCCCCCCCTCACCCCAGCTCCCCCCCCAAAATTTCCCCCCCCTTTCTTTAATTTTTTTTTCTTTTACTAATGCAACTTTTGCCTTCCAGCATCTTAATGATGACCCAGCTACTCAGGAAAAGCCACACAGATTTCTTCAATCAGCCACCTCAGACGACAGCCAGGACTTCAAATGCCAGCGGTACAATCAGCCATCGCCAGTCGCCTCAGACGACAGTCAGTACTTCAAATGCCTGCGGTACAATCAACCATCCCAGACACCAGCGACCTTGGACACCAGTGACCAACTACACCAGCGACCTTGGACACCAGTGACCAACTACACCAGCGACCGCAAACGCCAATGGGTCATTGCCAAGATAATCGGACATTTCCTGGACACCTCAATGCCCAAAGCCAGCAGGAAGCAGCCATGAGAGACCGGACTATGCCCCCATTCCCTACCCTTTAAGGTCCCCCAATTTTTTTTAATCAAACCAAAAGGGTGAAATGTTGTTCTCTTGCGACACTACAACTCCCAGCGTTCCCCTGGGGACACATTTCCCAAAGGTTTTGCATTCCCCATTAAAAAGCGGGGGCCGCCACAAGCCCCCCCCTCTCTCTCCTTCTCTCTCTCTCCTCCCTTTTCTTCCCCGCCTTTCCTACCGTGTCTGCACCCCCTTCCTGTTTGTTGCCCCTCCTCCATTAAAGTGTACCCACGTGGGACCGCCGCGTGTCTGTGTCTTTTCCTCGCATAACCATCTCTGCCGTCTAACCCACAGGAATTAAGAACAATAAGAGGTATCAGATTTTCTCACTGAGATTCAAGTAGTTAGTTATTTAATTGGTTTCTTGGCCTAAATCATGACCATAAAGGAAAACTAGAGGTTCAAAGACCATTTCAAAAATATGCTTACAACTGCCAATATGGTGGAAAGAACCTGTTTTGGAAGTTTCTAATATGTTCATCATCATAGAATATCAATAATTCTGCTATTATTAGTAAATTAAATGGAATTACCTACTTGGGCTATAATTGAAGATTAATCCTGAAATTAACATGACCATAATTCTTCACTCTCATTAGCTACATGCCTGAAAAGAGAAAATAGGAAAAAGTCTTCAGATATATATTTGTCAGAGTGAACAAAAAATCAAGAAATCAAGTAAATAGTGTTATTGAGTCTCTATAATGGAAGGCATCACTCAAGCAGCCTTAATGGCTAGGACCCTAAATCTACAATGATGGCAGACTTACATAAAAATGATATATTTTATTCTCTCAGAACCTAATGAAATACTCACATATCTGAGCATCATTTGACCTCTTCAGAGATATTCCTTTGGCACTAGTTGGAAAATAACATAATGTTGAGCAGGGAAGGTCTTTCTATAGATACTAAGAGCCTGTGTGGTCCTATGTTATGGTGTTTCATGTCTTTAAAACCTACTTGGAAGTTTCATACATGCATATTTAAAGATGGCAGAAATACTGTATCAGATTGAAATGGAGGCTCTTGATAACGAAGTATCAATGTTTTCCAGTATCAACATTACTAGCAGACATACACATTTAGAGTATGAGATGAATGTACAAGATAAGTTTTGTACTTTTTCCAAGCATATAAAACAAGACAAACAATAACAAAGATATCTATTGTGTTCATTATTTTCAAAGGTAGTATGTAATACCTCACTGCCATCATTAATAAACACTGGATTTCCAAAAACCACATGCTCATTTCTTTCCAAATTAGGAATGGGGAAAAAGTGAGAAAGTATCATGTACAAGAGTATTTATACGCAAATACACAAAGACTATGTCAAACAGAAGAGCAAATCTGAGACTGTAAGAACCTTAAAAGCAATAGGATGATAAGAAGTAGGTTTCCTCTTCTATACCTTATTCTAATTCCGAGTCTTTGATGAGAGGTAGAGTAGTGCTATCATATGTTACTGCATAATATTATCAATGACTCTGTTTTCATGAGAAAAAAAAAAACCTGCAATGTCTTACCAATTTTCACAAAGAAATTCAGAGAAAAGAAGAAAAGGCATGATTCCCCTTGACACTGTCATATACTAAAACATTAAGGGAATTATTTCTTTGCTATTGCTGCAGTGTTCAAGACAGAGATAGTGCTACCACAACTTTAAAGAGGAGAGGTTTCAGAAGCAGGGATGGACATGATGCACAGACCATAGCAGGTGACTCTGAACAGTAATACTGGAAAATACCAGTACCTGACTGCTAATTATCCTGGGTTTTTGTCATATAGATGTCAAGAGCAGTCTGCCGTATCTGGGCCAATGTACATTCGGATTTCAGCTATAAATGTTTGCAGCTCGGAGATGGCATATAGCCAGAGCCTGACTAGGAAGGACCCACTATGTAGACAATATTATTAGCTCTCCTTGCCTCAGAATAATCTGAAAGAGTGTGTGCATTCAAATTTTCCCAGGAACAATGACGAGAATGATCTCAGTTCCACCAATAGGAACAAAGCCGTGGGAACCTTGGGGATCTGCATCAGAGCTGCTGACACATTTCTCTCTCGCATCTCACTGTTTGCTCCAGCAGAAAAATATGAAAGTAATAGTAGATGGCAGGAAGTAATGTAGTTTATTTAAGACCAGATTCCAATTATCAAAAAGGAAATCATTATGACGTAAGTAGGACATGATCACGTATCTGAATTCTTGGGTCTGTATCCTGCCTATCTACCTGAAATTTCATTTCACCCTGTTGAAGGCTGATTGTGATACTTTGCTGCAGATGGCAGCTTCTTGGTATCACATTCAGAAATGTCATGTCAGAGTCCCTAAACACTTATTACAGAATCTTACACTTGAAATTTTCAGATTCCCAGGTGACTGAGGCTTTTTGCAAACATAGCAATTATCTTAATGATGTTTCCAATGGCGCATTAGATGAATACATTCCAGCGTTGTCATGAACAGACTTGCTAAGAAAATCATCATTTCAGAAAATATATAATTTAAAGCTAACTAGGAATTGAAGATTTTACGGCACAATCAGTGGCTTCAGCTTCGAGCACATTTCCTGCACTGCAAATGGAATCAGGTGACACTTCTCACAAATTCCTCGCTTTTCCTATGATTCTCTATTCAGCAGGTCTCGGAGACACATATTCTCCTGTGGTGTTTTTTACAGTGAGGCTTTGACTAAAGTCCAGCTTTGAGCAGGACTTTAGTCAAAGCCCCACTGGCAAAATCCCTCACTGCAGTCCTCTTAATCCCATGTAGGAACCAATAAGCAGAGAGATCTCATGACAAGGACCGGAAAGCAGAGAAGTGCATTTAGTTTGTTCATCTCATCCTGAGCTGATGAGTCATCTGTGTCTCTCTCCTTACCTTTATTGGGGAAAGAAGCAGAGCAATTGATAGAGGAACACAGGATAAAAAAGCATTTACCCGGCATTTTGCCTCCAGTTAACAGCCAATGAAACTGGCAAAAATGTGACAGGTTGTGCTAGCTGGCAGCTGCTTTTGCCTGGAATCTACCTATATACACGGAAACCTCTATTCCTGTCTGGAGATTTTTCTTGTGAATCTGTGCTGTCAAGTGCATCTTGCTTCTGATTTTTTGTCATTTTTTATCTGTTTTTATGCTTGGTTTTTTACACAGTCAAATTATAATTAAATATGTTACATTTAATATGATATTGTGAATTATATACAAATAAAAATGCAATTATATTTTTCATGTCGTTTAATTAGAATACATAATATATTTAATTTGATTATAGTACTATACAAGGTAGTCGGTGGATTGTAGAAAGAAATGTAGATTTGAAACCCTCTCCCATATAGACCCAGGTGTAATATAGATAGTAGCTCACAATGTCTTAATGATAAAGAAATGATTTCAGTTTAATTGATTTCAGAAAAAAATAAATATATTTAAATTGTTAACATTTGTGTTTGCTTGTTTTAAGGCTTATTGGTGTTTGCACATTTACCTTTGCACGAAGCGGCCTTCATATTTTTGTTTCTTACATGCAATCAATATACATAAATATCCTCTAAATAATAACTTATTATAATTAATCAAAAAAACAAGTAGATTCAAAATATTAGAAGTTCTCTCTAAATCTAAGCAGCATAAAATTATATATATATATATATATATATAATATTTAATAAAAGGAGAATTTATTTAAGGAAGATGTATGTCCTCCAATTTCATGCCATCTATAGTTACAAAGCACATTTCATGGCAAGCCACTCTGAAAATAATTGTAACTTTCCTTTTAATTAGTTAAATACATTAGATAACCCCTTTAATAAGGGTTCAGCTTCATTTGTCGTCCTATTAGGCATACTAGGATTTTTGAGCACTGGATAAACTACAAGAATAATAATGTCTCTATAATAATAATAATTGTCTCTATTTCCTGTGTGTGTCCTATCTCATTCTCACTCCCCCTCTAGGGACTCTTTTGACTTACAGGTGGGCCAGGGTAAAGTGGTGCCCAACGTTTGGCTGGAACACGGGGATTCAGTGAAGAAGCTGTTTAGAGAGGCTCATATAAAGTGAAGTATAAGTAAGAGGCAGAGAAACACAGGAACCTGCTGTGTCTTCTAACCTCAGTAACCTTAACAGCGATCACAGGACAAACAATTACTTAGCATAAAATGAGACATGTATTCAAGGCATGAGGGGTAAATACTAAAATTAAAAGTTAAGGTTTTTTGAGTATATTAAAGGTGTTTTATGAATGAGAAAAAATGACAGAGAGACAGAGAGGCACTAAAACATTATTATTAAGCATTCAGCCCAAGAAATGTTCCTATAACTGTCTTATTTACTAGAATTAATAAATTTTTGTTTTAGCGGTATTATGATTTTGTAATTGTCAATATCATTGGGATAGAATAGAAAATTATATTAGAAGATAAAATGAACAAGTGAATAAAAAAGGAGCCTAAATATTTTCAGTGGTAAATAAGGGGTATTAAATTTGAAAATGCTCAAATTAATGCAATCAGCATCAATCCTGTGCTGAGGGAAATTATTTTTCCTATGTTAACAGGCAAGTGGAGCTTGTGATAACCCTAATCAGCAGGCTAATACCCCCATTGAAATACATGAATAACTGAGAAAAATAGGCACGGAGCAAGGGAGCATCTTCGCTCCCTGGGAGAGAACTTTGGTTCGTGTATTAAAATTATCCAGAAATCTAATGAGCCTTATATATTGAAATCCTAGCTCGACTAAAATAAGCAATAGAAAGACTGTAATTGGAGAAGAAGCAAGGAAATAACATCTGAAAAGGCCAAGCATATAAAAATGCCAAGGTGTGTTATAATGAGCTATGCTATCATTTCAGGAAACAAGAAGTATTAATAGTTATAGGAAAGTATGAAAAGATATTCCATCGGAAAGTAGAAAACTGCAATTGGCTGCTGAAACTATGGCCACAATTTATTATAATTGGCAAAAGAAAATAAAAATTTAAAAGATTTAAAATGCTTTGGATATGGACAAGTCAGTCAAAATTAAAATTAGTTAAAGAGTGTATTCAAAATGCCTTTATGAATAGGTTATTACCTATGATCACATGCAAAATTTCTGGAGATCTGACATTTGAAAATTTGGAAATGCTCTAAGGGATCATTGGTAGCCTTTTCCTTTGTTCAAGAAGAATGTGGACATTTACATACTAATAATAATCATCTAAATGTTCAATATAAAATTCCATTTTGATAAAATAATCATACTTTCAAGTCCATTACATTTTAAAACATCAAATTGAAATTTTAAAAAGGAAGATTTTGGTAAGGAATTAAAGTGAGATATTGGCAAGAATTCAGGCAACTTTTCACTAATGCATATTAAATTTTGTAAATCTGCACGAAAGGGATATTCTAACTAGAGTTGACAAATATTTTCTTATACACCAAATTTTGAACTAGCAGAAAAATTGCCATAGATACTGAACAACAGCCTGCATTGTTAATGGAGAAAGGGAGAGGGTATCATATTGTCTCACTGCAGGATGAATGACAATTTTCGCTCCTGAAAAAGAAATTCCAATAATGGCCATGGTAAAATTATACTCATGGAAGTGACCTCCACAACATTAGCCTTCACCACAATCACCAATTTGGGGTCAAGTGAAATCTCTTGTGCCCTATGGTCAGATTATTGTCCAGCAGTCCAAAAGACCGGTTACAGTCAAATAATTTGTCTGGCCATATGTGCTCTGTAAATTGTCTCTTCAGTTCAGGAATCAGCTGTAAGTTATTGTGCTTATGTCCCTTAACACCTACGTTTCATCCTGTCTTTTGGGGAGACACTGATGTTTTAGTGTATATCACTGTAAGTATTCTCTCTCCTCCTTGGAATGACTTGACATATCTGAATAATTTTGATAGGACCTCTTATAATTTTGTTTATATGGATGATAGAGAGACAATAAGCTTTGGAAATTGTCCTTGTTTAATAGTGGGATTACAACATGGGTTACAACCTGGTATTAAAATATGTGGATCTCGCACTCGTCTTCAAAGATGGTCTGCATGGACCATAAATCAGACCTGGACAAAATTATGGAAAATTATGAATTATCATAACCTCAGTGTCCAGAATTTACTCATTATGGTTTAAAATATCAGCCATTATTTGAATGAATTGTTTAGGAAAATGTGGCAAAATAATTCAAAATAAACAGGTCCATTGGGACACTTATAGTTAATTTATTAACAATTGTTCTGAATGAAATATAACCACTTGTGATTTGCTTTATGTTACCAGGTTGAATTGAGCCAAGAATGAAATGATAACTGCAAGACATCTTCTGGCATGAGGAGATGGAGGAATCAATGATAATCTCATTGCCTTACTCAGTTCCCTTACAGCAATTCAGAAGATTGTGGCTCCCTTAAAACCTATTCAGCTTTTAAATGGCTCATTTATGGCAATAGTAGTATCTGCTTCTACTTACAAATTTCCCTTATTTGGAACTACTAATGTTACTGATTGTGTGACACTACCTTTTTTTTTTGGAAGAATCAATTTTACAACTGAAATTAATTGTTATGATTGTCAATTTTATTTATGTATTAATTCCTCTGATAAGTTTAATCCTCATAATAAATCACTTATGATATTACAACAACATACACATATTTGGCTGCGTGTTACTTGGGTCTTTCTTGGGTTCCTCTTGGGAAGATGAGACAAAGTTGGGAAACAGGTTCTTGGCAGACCAAGCATAGATGAAAGCATACTTTATCTGCCCATTTTTCAAACTTTCTGCCAGAAGCTGTACCTGAAATAAGGAGTAACCTTACCACGCATTACCAGGTATAGTTTTATAAGTACTTTGCTTCTGTATACTTTTGCTTTCTTTCATTGTATTTTAATTTAATTTGGCAAATACGCAAAAACATTCTAGAAGCTTTATTTTGCCCTCTTTATGAATGCCAGGGAGGAATTAACAATATGCCCCCTACCTTCTTCCCTTGTTAGCACCTTACATTGCCTAATAATTTTTGTTTTGCGAGGATCTTTTCTTTTAAGTTGATGGCATTTATAAAACAACAGGTGTATGAGGCAACTAACATATAAACTATACAAGAAAATAAAAAGTATACAGGTCCGTTATCATAATTAGACATCACCAACAATAAAAAAATGACAATATTTAACTGGTAAGATCATGCACACATGAGGTGCACAGAAAATTGTTTTTAAACCTGGTGTGATAGGCAGGTTAGGGAGACAGGGTAACAGGAGGATGTATACCTATGTTAAGCATGCCATCTAAGACATCAACAGAATTAAAGCAGTTCTGTCTTCCAATGAGGAGTAAGGGTGGGACTACAGGAGCTTCCCCCAACTGAAGTTAGGGACAGTCCCCTCAAGTGACTTTCGGCTTTCTAAAAATTAATAAAAATTAAAACGGGATCTTGTGGGAGACTCACTGCTCCTGAAACTTTTTCTCCCACCCTTTTGTGCTTGGAATCTCCTTCTGTTTTGATCTATCAAATACAAACTCTGCAAGAAGTTATTGATCCATTGTTCCCGTGTTCTAAACATTCTGACTGTTCTATATTTTGAGTTAGGGTGTTAGAATCTTTACGCCTGACCATTAGATCATGGTTAGGTTTCCAATAAGTTGCATGGTTAATCAAGTACAAGGGGAATTTCCTCCTTTCCCTAAACCTGTATATACCTGGATTATTCCCTGGAATAAACAAGACTTTATCAGAACCCTGTCTTGTCTCCATCTGTTGCGTCTCTTGTCCCATCCCATTGTCACTCCCCTTCTAGAGTATCACTTGATTTACCTATGGACCAGTGTTAATTTTATCATATAGAAAGATTTATTCTATCAATTTTAGTACAGATATATTTTTAAAGAAAGAAGCAGAATTGAGTGTAAAATAAGATAAATGCAGTACTCATGTATAAAATGATAAACTATATTAAGAAAGGATACACATACATGCATATGTATGTATGAATATAATTATACAAAGTAAATGTCATACATGTACACATATATAAGCTTATATAAATATTGGAATTAAATTGAGGTGGTTCAGTGTATTATGAGAGAGATTGTAAAACTGAATTTTTTTCTTATTTTATTTGACTTTCAGAATACTTTATTCCATATATAATTGAAATGGCTAAAACATGCTACATTTTTGTACAAGAGCATTCTACTTTTTGTCCACAGCTTTTTAATTGAAACTCAGACCTAATAATAATTAGGTGCCTTTGCATATATATATATATAAATATATATATATGCACTATATATGTAGTATGTATGTGTAGTATATATGTAGTATATGTATATGTATATGTAGTATATGTGTAGTATATATGTATATATATATATATATATATATAGTTTTATTCCTCCAGTTCTATATCTCTAAATTGATATATATATATGTATGTTTCCCTGGCCAGTGTTTAAACAATATATTATTAATAGCAAAATTCTACTCAAATTTTTAACAAAACCACTTATTTTATGGGCATTAAAGGAACAATTTTTTTGATGTGGAAATCTAAGATAATATTAAAGGGAAATAAACTTGTAAATGCCTCAGTGTTATTGGAATTAATGGTATTTAAAAGTCTCTCTATAAAAGGGTAACAAAGAAAATCTTCAATGAGGAAGGACACGGACAGCAATTTGAACATAGAACAGTTGTCTAGGGAAGGAAAACCGAACTTCTTAAACTGTGAGGCATATCAGCTATTTCTCACTCAGATCCAAGTAGTATAATACTTCATTTGGTTATTGGCCAAAGTCATAGCTGTAGTTGCAAAACTAGACATTCACAGACCATTTTGAAAATATGCTTACAACGCCAATACAGTGGAAAGAACCTGCTTTGGAAATTTCTACATAGTTTCATCATTAGAGAATGTTAATACATCTTCTATTATGATAAATTTAAGTGTGATTGACTACTTGTGTAATTATTGCAGGTTAATCCTCTCATTAGCTACAGGCAGAAAAAGAAAATAGTGAGAAATCTTCAGATGTATTTTTGTCATAATAGTCAATCAATCAGGACAGAAATCAAATAAATATTGTTAATAAGACTATATGATGGGAGGCATAACTCAAATAGCCTTAATAGCTAGGAATCTATGACTACAATGGTGACAGACTTTCATAAATATAATCTATATTATTCTTCCATAGTCTAATGAAATATATATATATATATATATATATTCATTCATCTGAGCATAATTTGACAATCATCAGAGATGTTGTTTGGCAGTAGTAGGAAAATAACATGTGCAGGAAAGAGCTTTCTATAGAAAATAACAGGCTTTATGTTACTATGTTTTGATGTTTTATGCCTATAAAACTACTTAAAACCTTCATGTATTTATATTTTAAAGATGGCACAAATATTGTGACAGATGGAAATGGAGGTTATTGATTTAAAGTACCAATATTTTCCAGTCTCAACATTATTAGCAGACATACACATTTAGAGTCTGCAATGGAAGATACAGGAGAAGATCTGCACTTGTTCAAAGCATACAACAACAAGACACACAATAACAAAGAAATCTATGTGGTAATTATTTTCATGGGAAGTATGTAATACCTAGCTGCCATCATCAATAAACACTTGATTTCCAAAAACACTCAGGCTGTTTGCTTTCCAAATTAGGAATGGGCATACAGTATGAAAGTATTATGTACATGAGTATTTATACCCTAAAACACAAAGACTATTTCGACCACAACAGCAAATTTAAGAATGTGAGAACCTAAAATGCAATAGGATGGTAAGAATTTTGTTTCCTCTTTGAAACCTTATTCTAAATTCTGAGTCTTTAAACAGATATGGAAGTGCTTTCATATATTACTGCATGATATTTTCAATGAGTATATAAAAAATTGCAATGCCACACCAATTATCACAATGAAACTCTGCGAATAGAGTAAAGGTCAGGACTCCCCTTGATGCTGTCAGATATTGTAACCTGAATAGAAATATTTCCTTGCAGATACTGCAGTGTTTCAAGACAGAGACAGTGGTACCACAAGTTTAAAGAGAAGGAAATTTCAGAAACAGAGATGGACATGACACACAGACCATAACAGGTGACTCAGAACCATAATTGTGAGAATAAAATATTACCTGAATGATAATTTCCCTGGGCTTTTTCACATAAAGATGTCAAGAGCATTCTGCCGGGTCTGGGCAAATGTACATTCCGGTTTATGGTATAAACATTTGTAGCTTAGAGCTAGCGTATTCCAGAGGCTGGCTAGGAAGGACCTGCTATGCTGACAATATTATTAGCTCTTCTTACCGCAGACTGAGGGAGTGTGTGCATTCAAAATTTTTCTTAAACAATGAGGAGTGTGATCTCAATTCCACCAATAGGAACAAAGCCTGTGTTACCTTGGAGATCAGCATCAGAGCTGCTGATTCATTTCTCTGCAAACCTCAATGTTTCCTTTGACAGAAAAAATGAAATAAAATGGATAACTGGAAAAAAATTTAGTTTATCTAGGACCAGAATGCAATTATTAAAAAGGGTAAATCATTGTGAATTAACCAAGATGTGATTACATATCTGACTTCTTGTGTCTGTATCCTACATATTTACCTGAAAATTTCCGTTTCTCCAGCTGAGAGCTGATTGGGATACTGTGCTGCCGATTGCAGCTTCCTGGTATCACATTCAGACATGCCATGTCAGAGTTCCTAAGCGTACTGATGGGGGAATCAGACACTTGAAATTTTCATATTACTAGGTACCGGAGGCTATTTGCTGACATAGCAATAATCGTAGAGTGGCCTCCAAAGACGCATAAGATCAGTACAACCCATTTTTTTTTCAAGTATAGAATTTTTAAGAAAATCATCATTTCAGAAAATACAAAAGCTAGGGTTCACCTAGGAAACACAGATTTCATAACTGAAGAAGTGTCGTTAGACTCGAGCACATTTCCTGTACTGCGAAGAGGAACAGGTGACTCTTCATGAGAACATGGGAAATATCACAAATTCCTTGCTTTTCCTATTTCTTCTGTATCCTGCAGGTCTCTGCGACACATTTTTTCTCTGCAGTTGTTTAGAGTGAGGCCTTGACTAACGTCCAGCTTTTAGCAGGACTTTAGTCAAAGCCCCACTGGCAAAATCCCTCAGTGCAGACCTTTTTATGCTATCTTGGAACCAATGAGAAGAGAGATTTCAAACCATGGACTCGAAATCACAGGACTGCATTTAACATGGTGATCTCATCCAGAGCTGATGAGTAATCTGTGTCTACCTCCTCACTTTGTGTTGTGAAAAGAAGCAGAGTAAACGACAGGGGAACACAGGATAAAATCTACTTTATATCAGGTTTTACCTCCAGTTAATGGGCTACAAAACTGGCAATGTGACAGGATGACTGAGCCAGCAGCTCCTTTGCCTCGAATTTACCTATATACATGCAAGCATTCATTTCTGTCTTTAGTTTTTGATTTTCAATGTGGGCTGCAAATGCATCTTATTTTCTGATTTTTGTGATTGCTTTTTGCCTGTATATATATATATATATATATATATATATATATATATATATAGTTTATATGCAGTCAAATTATAATTAATTGTTACATATAATATGATATAATGAATTATATACAAATATAATATACAACTAGAACCAAATTGTGAAGTCAAAATATATTTGAAACATATATGCTGGCTTAGATTAGCACTACATACTATGAAATGTCCCTCTGTACTTAACTCACATACAGTCTGGTGTGGGAGTTCTTTCTGTTGGTGTGTTGCTTTCATTACTAATGAATGAAGAAACTGTGTTGGCCTAGTTGATAGGATAGAACTTAGGTAGGCAGAGAGTAGAGTGAACTGAAAAGGGGAAGAGTGAGAGATGCCATGGATCTCCTGCCTGAGACAATGCTGGTTAGAATTTTGCTGGTAAGTCACAGTAACATGGCAATACAGAGATTTAATAGAAATGGGTTAAACTAATATGTAAGAGTTAGCCAATAAGAATTTAGAGATAATGGGGCAGGCAGTGTTGAAATGGATACAGTTTCTGTGTGATTATTTCAGGTGAAAACTAGAAGGCCAGCTCGGATGGAACAAATGTGCCCACTCTCCATGCCACACCAGTCAGAAATAAAAGAAAAGACAATAATGTACATAATCCACTCTCTGTGTATTTTCTATCTTTATATGACTTGTTTTTCTTTACTCATTTAATCTATGACTTTCTATACTTTGTCTATTTAAAGACTTTGTTTTTGTGTTTGCAACCAGTTTTTTTTTCTTTTATACCTTTAACTATTTTCTGACCAGAAACATTTTAACTGCTAAGCAGGCATGGCTAGGACTAACTCTCCCATCATGCCTGTCAGTTTCATTTAGTCCATCATGGTGAAGGCATGTTTACTGCCTCTGAGAGCATTTCTCTCAGAGCCAGGTTCCAGCATGGTTCTCACCCAAGGTCTCCCCAGGTCTGGATTGCAATTAATTAAGTTGTTGTAATCTGATCACAAACCACAGTTAAATGCTCTGCAGCCACATCACCAGAAAGGATCATAGTTAATCCTGCAACTAGCATGAACCTGGGAGCTTTCTTAAGTGCGTTTTGTAGATTTTGTTGCTACCACTGAGTCAGGAAGTCTTGTCTGAAAAAAATAATGCCTCAGCTTGATACTAGCAATCAGATTCCTCCCAAGAAAATACTATCATAAAGCCATGCTTAACTCTGTCCTTTTGTGTCTAGCTTTTCTTTTGAAGATTTCTCAGATTTTACATGGATATAGTTGACCACACTGCTAGTTCATTTCATAACTGCCCTGACTTGAAATAATAACTAAGAAACTATATTATTTACTGTACTATTTGACCAATTTCTTCCCTTAAGTTTGTTGTACCTAGCTCCTTTATCCTAAACTAACCAATATTCAGAAATCTGTTCATTACTATATAACTTAATGGCAAAATTTGGGAAGGCCCCATTGGAGGCATCTGCCTCTGGCAGTAGCTACATGGATTCTCCCAGAATTTCTCTACTCTCTCTGTTCATTTTTGAGCCTGGATTTACTCTGTAAAGACATTTGTTGAAGGCATCTTGTTAATTAGCCAGTGGCAATAAAACCAACTCACAGCATAAATCACCTCTCACTCAGGAAAGCATATTAAAAAGAAAAAAAATAAGTTTAGAAAATAATAACTCCAACTAAAAAGTAAAAAAAAAGCAATTAAAATCAAAAATAGTGTAAGCAAGTGATATCAAAAATTGTAACACAGACAAAGATGAGAAACCCTCTCAAATTCCCACACATGGCAAAAATGTCACAGACAAAAATTTAATACATAAACAGAAAAGATCTGCTTTTAATGTAAAATAATATTGATAGTTTTAAAGTTCAAAATGATAAGCTAAAAGGGTTACATATAATCACCCCATTCTTTATACAGTTTATGATATTTGCATATGCACAAAAATATAAAATAACAGTCTGACTTATTGTAATTATTTTGACATTTTCTAATGCAGATATTTCACTGAATATCTATACTAGTAAAGAATACAGTAGGAGGAAGAATTATGAAGTAATATAAATACTGCACTTACACATGAAATTCTAAATTATATAAAGCAATTATAACCATATATATGTATATATATATGAAGAAGCTTATATATATGCCATTCATAAACTTATATAAATATGTGAATGGAACTGAAAATGTCACAGTACAATTGGTGATATAGTATGAAAAGTTAACCCACTTTATTTTTAAAAAATAGGAGTATTTTAGCAAAGGTGTCAATACATTGTTACCAGATGTGCTTCTTGGATAAGGACATTCCTATAATTCCACACTCAAGCTAAAAGAGCATTTCAAAATTATAATTGCACCTCCCAATATGAGGCAAATCATCTATTTTTGATGTTCCTACACAATTATGTTCTCAAAGAACAAAAATCCCTCTATTGTTATCAGAAGCTTCACAGGAATAGAAAATATGAGATATGACTGAAATTTAACCTGCATGTTATGGCTTCATTTAGAAAGAACAAAATTTCTCCCTTTAATGTGCAACTTGGCACAAAAGTAAAAATCAAGAAGTATCAGATATTTTTTTTTTAATCAAAGTGCCTCAAATTCATGGGTGAAATGAAGTAACTATGAGGATTATGATTAAGAGCCTGGTTTGGAAAGAATACCCCACATGTCTCTAATAGACTAGAAACTGAGACTAAACAGATTACAAAACCATACTGAATTTTTTTCTTTCTTTTAGAATCCTATAGAAATAATCTGATTCCTAATCATATATTCTCATACATAAATAATTGTGCATCAGCAGAAACTCACCAGAAATATTACTTAAACTAGATGGGAAATAGCTCAATAATGTGAAGAGATGATCACTCATAGTAAAACACCAATGCATATAAAATAAAAATAAAATTTAAAAAAAAATTAAAAATAGGCTTGCACTGATACAAAAGATTGTGAAGATTTGTGAATTTCATTGTCACCTGTTCTGAGAAAGTGTCAGAATATTCAAAGCTAATTACAAACTAAGTTTTATAAAGCACATGATCTTCTGTAGGATGTGTAGTTCTGATTTATTGACAACATTATTTTCTCTGACATGTAAGTGTTATATACAATGAAAATATGATCCTCCAATTTGATAGGATGTGCAAAATTCAAATTAGTTTTCCCTGAGTTTAACAACATCCATCACCTAGATCTCATAAATGGAACTCCTAATTTCTCCCACCAACACATAAATTGATAGATTTTTTTTGGCTGCTTTCCTCTTCCTTAAATTACATTTATGTATCAGGCTTGCATCCCTCAGCTTACATCTAGTTTTTCTATGAAGTTTGGCTTTTATAAATCTTAGAAATAATTGTTATCTTAGTATAGAGAGTAACTGTGAGAATGCCTAGAGCTATTTTGTAAACCTATGTGTTCAGATAAGACATGAAAAACTACTACCCTCTCTACCTTTAAGATACCCAATTCATTCTCTCTCCCCATCACCCCTTCCTTCCAACCCACCCCTGTGCTCCCAACCTTTGCCCAGCAATCTTATCTTTCCAATATCAAGGAGGATAAATATATGTTTTTCTTTGGGTTCACCCTCTTACTTAGCTTCTGTAGAATCACGATTTATAGTCTCAATGTCCTTTATTTATGGCTAGAATCCACTTATGAGTCAGTACATACCATCTTCATTTTTTGGGTCTGGGTTACCTCACTCAGTAAAGTGTTTTCTATTTCCATCCATTTGAATGCAA